GGGGGGGGGGGGGGGGGGGGGGGGGGGGGGGGGGGGGGGGGGGGGGGGGGTGAGAATCGGCAAGAGTGATTCGATTGTTGCGTAAATCGAACCTCACTCAATCGGAGATCAACATCAGCTGGTTCGGAGACATACAGGTGCGGAGAAATACTAGGATTTTAGTTGCGCCAGTCACACGCTTTCACCTGAAAAGCCTGACATCCTCAGAAGTGAAGCTCATCGCTCGACCATGCCCCTCCGCACTATCGGCATGGAATGAGGGCATTGATCCGTGTCGCACCATTATCGTTTTTTTCAACCAACGCAAAGCTGCTTCGCGACCTCTCATTTCGAGTTCAGAAAGAGTCCAAGAGTCCGAGACAATCCTCGTGCGCTCGTTCATATTTTAGTTTATCCGCTTGCGAGTGTTTCCACCACTTCTCGGATAATGTGTCACAGCAAGATGTGACAGGAGCAGTTCCGGTAGAACTACGTTTTGTTCTCATTGGGTGTTATCATGTGGTCTTAGAAAATACCAAAATACTTACATGCAACCGAGGAGAAACCCGCTCGCAATGTAGTCAACGCATATATACAAGGGATACATATTGTACAACATGTCGATGAGAAAATAGCAAGATATGTGCAATGGTCCGTGGGGTGCATCATGTAGGTAGCTCAGAAAGAGAGCAAGTAATCGGAACAGCAGCGTCAGTCCATAGACGACACAACAGCGGCGACAGCGGTGACTGCTGTAGTGATGAAGAACGGGTTGACCACATAAAGAACATCAACTTTCAATAAAGAGTGTGCACCACAGCAATGCTGGCCCCCTCGGTAGGGGTCAGTCAAATCGGCATTTATCGCCGGCTGAACTCTCCTATTTAACAGACGTCGAGTCCCACTGCTGTATAATTCGAAAAAGTACCTTGCACTACAGGAGTAGTAGCGCACCACAGAAAACAAAACACGAGTGATGAAACGAAGAAGAAGCAGCACCGCATATCTACACAAGCATGCAAGCACCACTGGTAACTTGTCGGCTCTGGGCGTGCGCCAGCTCATCATGCATGATGGCGGCGAGACAAATCACAGCAGTTTGCTTGGCGGTGCGTCGACGCGCTGCTGCTGCTGCTGATGCTGCTGCTGCTGCACTTGTAAAGTAAAAAATGGAGACAGACAACAAGACGACCTGCACACGCGGCGGCGCCATGGGTAGTAGAGCAGTTGCTGTCCAGAAGATGGAGTGACTTACGCTCCCCTCCCCCCCGCCCTGAGCACTGATGCAAAAGGCGTGGCTTTGGCAACGGAGCAAGCAGTTTCACGACAAACAACAAGTGCTTGCATGCAAAGTGCAATGTTGGCAGAGGAGACTGTCTCAGAAGAAGGCAAATCGCACACACCACATGAAGCTGGCAACAATCGTGGGATCCCCCCCCTCCGCAACATATGGTACATGTGTAACCATATGCACTTTGCCGAGGGCGCTTGTAACCTGACAGGTCACAGGGACGCTACGTTCGCATTTGGAATTTAACGCTGTGTTGAGTCCGGGCTTTCTGTGTGAGATCGTGCACATCTGATGGGACCAGAAGGTCACACAAGTTCACAAGCCAGGGTGAGCGATGATGAGACGGTCAGTCGCCGCTTTTGGAAAGAAAAAGCTCTTCATGACCTCCACGGCTACGCCACCGCCGCCACACGGAATCTGGGCGGCTTTTACTGGTAACGGGGGGCCCAGGAATCATCACATGCGCCGAGGGCATGGTGAGAAAAAGCGAGAGAGGACTGTGACACCTGCTGCAACCCTAAAACATTACATGTGGAAGAAATAAGCAGCAGCAGCAGGTTTTTTGGTATGCATAAAAAAAAACAGCACCGGGTCTGCGTTGGCTTTTTGTGTCGCCGGTTGTGCGTGTAGATGGACAGCGGCTCGAGTCGAGAGGGAAAGATGGCACCACCTGCAGAAAACCGTGTGGACACGTCTTGTACACCGTGGACCTACGGCGATTGCAAGCCATTCAGAATCAGGTCAAAGCTCAACTCAGGGCGGCAGCTTTTCAAGAGCAAGCGGTCGGTCAAGAGGGGGGGGGAGATGTATGAGGGATAAAAACAAGGGTCCGACAACACAAAGCGGCAACAATCGCCAGCTTTTCCACCATCAGGGGGCAGTCGAACACGCCACCGCAGTGCTAGTCTCACCTGTGACGCTCACCAGCCAGATGCCTCCTCTGTTCCGAGCCTTCGAGCTCCTCTCACAGCTCACCTCAACAGCTGTTTTGCAAGAAAAGCCTTTCGGCACTTTGGGGTGGGGGCAACGCGAACATCGAAGAGTCGGGTAGGCACACACCCACCTGTTCTTGGCTCCAGCTCAGCACGCCGCGCCAAGTACACTTGTTACACTGACTCGGCACACTCTCACACACGCGGCAGCGAAGTCCCTCAGTCTAACTTCCTGCTGCTCCCGATCGAAGGAGGTACTACGGGAGAAAGTTGAGAGCAAGATGAAGACGAGAGCGCTGACATCGTGCACAGCTGGAGGTCTAATCTGCTTGTCAACATCATGTGTGACAACGGCCTTCGTATCTTCGACGACACCTGCTCTCTCTTGCCACCACCATCATTGTACCAGATCGCCGGTTGTTGCTGCTGCTGCTGCTGCCACTCCGAGATCGCTGCTGACACCCGCCACAATGAAGCTCTCCGGGAGATCTAGGAGGCACAATCGTGGCCTTCGACGAACGCGAATGGCGGAGGACAGCGGCAATGACGGCGTCGTGAACATGTCAAGCTTCGATGCACAAAGCGCCCCCCCATCAGGTCCCGGTGCCGGCGTGATCGACTTGCAGTTCGAGAACCTCAAGACTGGAGGCTTCAAGGTCTTCCTGCTGTTCTTCTTGCTTGGTGTGAGTATGTCTTGGCTGTGCACACAAGAGGTTGCTATTGAGCATCGTCACCACAGACAGGCAGCACATGCACGGCGGTGATTCTCTGCAGCAGCAGCCGCACACCACGTGTACGACTCAACAGACAACAGCAAGAGGAGCATGTTACTTCAATCAGCGCCGACTGCGGTCAACCGGCTGTCCAATGGCAAAGATGGTATATTTGCGTGTGCTGCCCCACCATCGTGTTGGAGGTCATCCTCTTGCGGCTTTTGGCTGTAGCTTTAGAGCCCTGTTCTTGTGTTGCAAGTGTTGCGCAATTTCAAAATGATGGATGTAGACGAGAGCGGTAATCACTCCGCAGTCGCGTCATCCATAGCTTGCCAGAATCCTTCGCAAAGGCGCTTGCGAGCCCCGTGTGCACACTCAGCGTCTTTCTAACTGGAGACGTGATGTGCAGCGGGAAGAGTGGCACGCCTGGTCTGTTGTTGTGAACTCTTGGGGACGGGGGTGTCCCATGTCGGCCCCTCGCGTGTAGATACTATTGTTGGTTATTCTGTGTTTTTTTTCAACTATAGCAGTAGTCTACGTACTTCTGCGATGACACCTTGACAAGTTGACAAGTCACAGACAAATGGAAATCCGACCTGCATCCAGTATCCAGTGTCCAGTCCACCGTCGCACGCTCCATCGCGAATAAACAACAAACGAGATAGAAGACGTTGCAGGGGAGTTGTTCTTCCTGATACAGTACTTGTATGAGCAGTGTTCTTTCGGTTAGCACCTGCTGGCATCACTGAAATACAAAGGGTGTAGACCCTAAACAAGTTCAGTATCCACCAGTTTTCTTGCCCCTCATTGAGACTTGAACACATCACATCTCCCTTGGACTGACCGTGATATTTTCTCGAATCGGTATTCTCTCTTTGATTCTATGTGTATTTTAAAACAAGCATATGTGATCCAACTGCTTCGTCGCTTTGACTCCGCCTCCCTATTAGTCCACGTTTTCTCACCAATCCGCCGGTACGTTTATAAAGCATGTGTTGGACCAACACATGAGGAACACTCAAGCTCCGGAGTGCCCGAGCATGCTTGAAAAGCGTGCTTCGCCGCTGAAACCTACCTCCCCTTTCCCCTCTGGCTTCTACTTTTTGCTGGAAATCCGTCTCAGCAAGGACGGGCGAAGGACAACGACACCCCCTTCAGCGTCAGGGACACCGAGGAGGGTATCCGAGTGCTCATCGGAGACGAGACAAAGAACGACTCTCAGTGGGAAGGGGTGCTGGACCTGTCTTGGGGAGTGGAGCCTCGACCGTTCTTCCGGGTGGACAGAATCGACGTTAACGAAGGTGAGGCGCTGGCGGATCGGTATCGTCGTTGATTGCTTGGAAAATATTCAATCAAGCAAAGACTACCCGTCCTCTCGTCGTACTTGATTTTACAGCCGGTGGCCGGTGTTAAGCGTCGGCGATGGTGCTTGTAGTGCCTTGGCGATGGTGGTGTGACTGTGGCCGTAGTGGTGAGGCGAGGGGCGCCGTGGATCACGTCTGGTTGGCGACGGAATTGGTGGATCACAACTGTAGTCGCCCTTCGTTGGCGACGCCAGTCATTGACGAAGTCACCCGCTGGAGGTGGTCTCTGCGCAGTACACGCGACGCCTACATTTCCTAGAACGCGTGGGCGACAACGCTCTTGATGACATCATCGGTCGACCAGGGATTTTTCGATCAATGAAAATTCCCGTCCAAGATATTAACCAATCAGAAAACTCCGGGCACCTCTTAGTGAGTATCTATCTATCCTGTAGCTACGTGAGTCTTTCCCTCATCATGGGGTCTCAGAGTTTTGTTTTTGTTTTTTCGTTTCCTCCCCTTCGATGTTCCTCTCTCGACAACGACGACACCATCAGTCATCCCGTACCCCGGAGAGCTTTACATCCTCAACAAGCTCCTCGACGCCATCATCGACGTGAACGGAGAGCAGTCAGTGGAGGACCACCAAAAGCTCTTCATGGTGAGGATTGTAGTGTGTAGCACACGATTCCGCCCTTCAAGCGGTGACTACTTAATAGTCATGTCCGCGTTCACAAGTTGAAGCCACGGCAATTTCCTGCCGGAGCTGTGGGTGAAGTGTTGGTCTGCGCCTCATCTTTGTAAAGGAAGGGTTGACGCTGGTTTGCAGCTACCTTGGGCTTGGCCTCTCGCCGTTGAATTGAATTCCAAGGGTGCATAAGCTTGCTTCCTTCGTGCCTCTTGTACACTGGTGGGTACGCCTTGCGAATTTCATTGGCTGGTCGTGCTCCTCGTGTAGCTTTTCCCGCGGCGCAATCCTTGTCCAATCATATCACTCACCGCCACGTGGGACCGGTTTGCCTGTCTGCATCAGCGAAGCCCCCACCCCCCGTTGCTCCCGGCGTTATTGGAATGCGAGGTCAATGGTCTTACGACTACGGCATGCACGACAATGAGTACACACACACACCCCGTTATTTTCGCTTTGTCCTGATGGTCTAAATAACACTCACGCCTTCCGTTTTTTGTCGGCATGTTTGTTTGTTCGCCGTTGTTGCTGCTGCCCTCGTTGTCGCTTTCCCTTCGGGATATAATTCTTCGGCCGTCGACACTGCACCACGTCACCACCGGTAGTTCCGCGAAGGGGAGCAGAACCAGCTGGCGGAAGCAAAAGCAATGCTCGCGGGCTTGGCGTCTCTGTGATGACCCCCCGAGACACTGCCCTTTACCTGTAGAATAGTTGCAACCGTCATGTAGCCACAAGGACCAAGGAGAGAGGAGACAGGTGTTAATTTTCACGCCGGAGGAAGGATACAATTGTTAACTTTCACTCGCGGGGGTTGACGGCGTCCCTCGCCCTTCCATCTCCTGCTATAGCAAGTTGGGCCCATTTGTCGATGAATGACCTGGTACGTACGCGTTTTTTGTGTGTGGCTTCTTGCGTTCTTCTGCCGGTGCTCTCTCCTGGCCTCTCGCGTAATCAGCTGGGATAGCAAGACCGGGGGTTCCTTGAGTGTGCCTGGGAGGGGCATCCTGGCGAAGACATGACGGCAATGCTGCAGAATACCTTCGATCGTGATGGGTTATTCATACAACGGCAGGTCGTTAGTAAGTGCGGCTGCCGAGATTACACTCCGGAGTTCACCTTACCCTTGGAGTAGTCGTTGAAACCGTACTGGTCCCATCTGATAGGCACGTCGTGGTGTCTCGAGTGTTGATGCTATTGGCATAATACCGGGGATGTCATAAGCAACATGGGCGACGGCTGCACCGGCCAGTTTCAGTGCCCGCACTCACATTGTCAACGGAGCGGTTTGAGCACAGCAGCAGCTCTCGTGTTGAAGACGGGGGAGTTCGTTTGTAGCGTACGATTCTAGTGTAGAGCAGTAGCTTGAATGTCGTTGTGACGGGCTTGCGGCCTCCGTTTTCCTTGAGATGGACGACAACGATCTTCACGACAACGAATCCATAAGCCTGTTGTAGTTGATTCCCAAATCCGCGCGTTAAGGCCCATGTTGATGGTTTCCAAATCTTAGGCACGAATTTTGGTTCCTGTACGTACTAATTGACGTTGTCATCCTCCCGTCCGGTAACTCCCAGCCTTCGCCCCGCATAACCTCGGCTCGAATGGAACTGGACGCCCGATATTTGATTGCGCTTCGACGATGAAGGGCATTCGGAAGAAATGAGACCTAAACCTCAAACGTCATGGCCGCACCCTTGCCGAATGCTGCCAACGTACAGTATATCTCCCGCCGTTTGATATCCTTCCCCGCACTCTGGTCGAAGTTGGGGTTCTCCCCCGACAAGGAATGCGCGACTCGGCTAAGGTCCACGCACATGATGTGATGTGACGTGCCAATTCATAGACGGTACCCGCATCAATCAGTTGTCAGAGCTCTCGTGAGGCACATCAAATTCGATCGTGTGCGTTTCCGGTTCATCATCCTGCCCGTGCATGCACAAAGCGGACCGACTTCTAAAGGAGGCTTCGCAGCCCAACGGGGCATGACTCCGAATTCCAATGTAAAAGCCTAAAAGCCCCAGCCCCCGTTAGAAGTACAAGCCGTGCACCTCAGTTGTTGCTCCTCACATCACCTGGCCGGCCACAGAGGATCAAATAGGCCAGCAGCGAGCGAACACTACAAGTCGCCGACACACACCAGAACAGCGCGACAAGCACAACCCGATCTCGAAACCAGGGGGGACGGCCCACTTCGATGAGCACCCCGCGACCATCTCCACAACAGATTCATCGGCACTAATTTTTTGGACACGGTTCGAGGCGGCACCATGCTTGTGCGAACCATCTATCCGTGTCGACGCCGCTACGTACGCGTGGCTATCTACGAGCAAAGCCAGCTGCAGCAGTTCGTCACGAGGCTCTAAGCTCCAAGTGCGCACAACAGATGATATATTAACTACAGCAGCGGTACATGTCGTTTAGTCTTGGCAAGGTGAGCGAATGGTAGAGTTAATAATACAAAGAACCACACATCCCTGGCTTAGGTCGCTGCTTCCAAGAAACGACAACGCCAATGCATACATAATACAGAGGAACCCACCTTTCGCTCAACAAGGCAACGCACCCCTACAAAGATCATCCTAAACACAACAAATAACGACCTATACTATGCCTTAAAAACAAACACATTGTACATCAACGGCAACGCCGCGACTCGCCCACAAAAACACCGCGCGAAGCTGAAACAGCGGAACAATAGGACGTCTAAATAAAGGTGCCTTCTCGACCCTGGCGCCGACAGCGAGGGGTTGGGGCCACCGTTCACGGCTTCGGTTGGTGGCAAACTTGGTCGTAAACTGCAAGAACACTGCAGCTTGACGGGACGCCACATGGAGTACCAGCGACGAGCAACAGAGATGCGTCTCAAGAGCGACTTGGTGTACCTCTGTTCCTGCCGGTGTGCACGCGCATGCCACCTGACTCCTAGGAGGCTACAGTACCGGTATCAAGCACGACACGACATAGCACATCGACATGGCCAACACCTCCGCACACCTACAAGTATCCTACTTCCGGTGGTAAACGGTTTTCAACATGAGCCCAAACCGTGAAACACTCCCAGACCAAGTAATGGGTGAAATTAGATACGACGCCCATCCCAAACAACAAACCCGGTGATAACATACTCTTTTTAGAATCGAATTGAACCAAGCCCGTGTAGTCTATATCCGTGAATCATGCCACAATGACGCCCCTGCCTACCAGCCTCTCTGCACGCCTGCTTCCTTCCAACAGTAAAAAACTATGAAAAATGCTTCGCGAACCTCCCCTGTTAATCCCCTAATAGACGCCACCTTGCTTGCGTGCTGCTTGCTAAACGCCCCACACACAGCAACAAAAACAAACAAACAGGCTCTTGTTCAGTGCAGCCATGGACGCTTAGTCTTGCTTTTCCGCAGACACGCCCGTAACCCTGCGTCTCGGCGGGAAGTACAGTCGAGCCACCTAAAAAACAACACACACACACATACACACGCGCAGGCGAGGAGGAGCGGGCGGGAGGTTGAGACCCCATTCTACCTCCCTACTGACACGACAGCCGTTGGAAAGACATTCCATGGTAATACAAATCGAAGTTTAGGCCATGCCAGCAGCAGCCAGCGCTTCGTCCCCTTGAGAGAGACGTTAGTTGGTGCTTCCGTTATATAGTGGCTTCGGCCATTGTAGTCCACGTCGTAGTTACGATTCCGGTTTGCCCCGATTTGGAGACGCACCATCGATCCCCCGTCCAAGTCCAAAGCGCCATACCATACCATACCGTACCGTACTTTCCTACGGCAGTGGACCCTCACCAACGTCGGTTGAATGACGCCGGTGGCCCTGACTAGTGACGGTGATATTCCCAGGAACAGACCGAGTCACCACGTCATTCTGTACATTGAATAGCGCCGGTCGAATTGCCGGGCGCATACCGGCGTACGGTTGTTACGGTTGTTACGGTTGTTACGGTTGTGGAGGGCCCACCACTACCGGGCGAAAAAAAACACAAAAACGGTACTGAAACAAAGGAGTTGCTAATACCATGAAAACGGCGGCAACCGGAGCGAGAATCGCGCCAAAGAAAAACCAAGTCAGACGCAGACGCTGCTCACTCACCCAATACGCGGCATTCCCCAACACGGCCACGGCTGCCCCAAAGCCGGAGACGAAGCCAATGGGGGTACCCATCGCCACCGCGCCGAAGAAAATAACCATCCCCCGCTTCACCGAGTTCGCCACGGAAAACGTCGTGACCGAGCCCATCTTTTCGAGCACTTTGAACGCCGCCTGTAAAAGGTGCGTTCGTGCAGGTGCGTTCGTGAATCATGATTGGCCAATGAAAAGGCGTTGGTTTCGGCGGGAATAATGTCGAGGTCCCCGACAGCGGGGGCCAGATCCTACTGTTCGTGTGTGCTTTACTTACGGTATCTTTCAGTCTTGCTCAGTTTCATGAAAGAGACCTTGTGCAAAGGTGCAGAAAAAGAATGAGAACACGTGTCTTGTGCGGACTACGCGCATGTTAGCAGCCCCCACGACCACCGTCCCGGCAACACCAACATCCTCAAAAACAACTTCCACGAGACCCCCTACACACGCGAGCCTTACCGCACTGTGTAGAAAGAGCAGAACCCCGCTGAAGCCCAGGTAAAGGGCGAGCCACCCCAAGCTCGCGGCCATGTCGTCATCATCCCTTCCCACGTCTGCTGCTCCTACTCCCTCCCTCACCGCCGAAGCTACAGCCCGTGCCCCTCCCGCGACACCGCCTCCCGCCGTCGACCACCATCGCAGAGCGTGGGGGCCGTCGACGATCAAGGCGTAGGGCACCAACGTCGCAAAGGACATCACCTTGGGAAGGGCGGGGGGCACGGCTTGATCGTAGAGAGAGGTGGTGGGACTCGAGATCGAGACTTGGAAAAAGACAAGTGGAGTAGTGTAACGATCGAGGTTTTGATGGTGAAAAACAAATTGGGGGTGGGAGTCACGATCTTGGGTAGGAGACGGCGAGGTCAACAAGGACGACGAGGTTGAACGGTTTGCCTCGTTTCGCTCCGTGGAGAACGGCAGGAAAGAACCAAGAAAAAACTCGAGGTAATACTGCGGAAAGAGAGATTCATGAACCGTTTGCATGGACAAGACTTCGGATCGTTCGCAGAACGTTCCCCACGGCCTCGCCTACCAGAGACAGGTGGATCCATTGGCGGTTCCTGCAGCATGCTGGACTCGACCGTAGTTGATACCTTTGCCACGGAAGTTGACCTGCCAACCGCGAATGACGTAAGATACCACACTCCCTGGACCGATTTTGAAAGCTCGACGAATCTATGACGAAGAGGAGGACAAAATCAGCCGATACGTTCTCGGAAAGCTCTCGATGAGACGGTTCCAACGCAACCGCCATTTTCGACACCCCCACTCTTTCTACTGTGGAGTAATCGAGCCCTGAAATTTGGTCTAGGTGTCGTTCTTTTATAGTGTACCCTACCGTGTTGCTTTCGATGGTATACCGATAGGAGCTCTCGGCGCCTACCGTATATGACACAAAACAACACACCCCTTTGACCGATTTTCGAATCTCCATTTCTCAAATGCAGGAAGCGCCACAGCGCCGAAAACGGCGCCGTTGGAACCGTCTCGTCGAGAGCTTTTCGAAAATGTATCATTTCGTTTATGCATCCTCTTCGTCGTGGAGTAACTGAGCTTTGAAATCAGTCCAGGGGGTGTGTTATCTTGTGTCATATACGGTATACCCGAGGTTTTGGGTTGCTGAGACCGCCCCAGGCTATCGCTGCAGTCTCCCTCCTTCTGCTCCGTGGCTCCAGCCCCTGATCTGAAAACACTGACAGTTACAGCCGTTACAGCCGTTACAGCCATGATGGTACTCACCGTCACTACCGCGTACGTGTTGGCGGCAGACAGTGGCCTCTTGTGGAACTCCCTCTGTCTGCTGGCGCGTTTGGAGTAAAAGTCCCGCACGCCTGGTGTTCATGTAGGGTTGAAGCCGAAAACGAGACGGGAGGGGGAGAGGGTGGTGTGTGCAGTCATGTCAACGCGTGCCGTAGTCGTTAGACCATTGATCGCGCATGTCGAGACGGAGCGATGTGTGTCGCCGGCCCAGGCTACGTTTCTCAAGGATGGACCGGAAGCTGGTCATCATCCTTGCGACGGGGGGGTGGGAGAAGAGCCGAGATGAGACCTTCTTACCGTGGTTCTTCTGCCACTGCGCTTGGGGTACTGGAAAGGACAGTAGTGCTAACGGATTAAAGGCGTTGTGTCCGTGACTCAACCACATAGCGAACACGCTTTCGAGATACTTTTCGGATGGACCCAGACCGTTCCTGCTGCTGTACGACATCATGCCCGACAGAAAGGGTAGTGTTGCTCGCCAACAGCCACCCCCTTCCTCTCTTCTAGCCAACACCCTACTATGCACAGCAACCCCCGAAAGCAGATAAACTGGCGGTATGCGTGGACCGGACGCATACAAATCTTCGGCTCACCCACGCTCACGCTGGACGCCACAGCGAAAAACAAGCCACCACGGGTAATGGACGCGTCTCTCGACACCAGAGCGACGCCTGTGATGATGGGGACCATTGCCGCGTTGCCGATGGGGTGGGACCGTTTTCCGGCCACGAATAGGTCTACCAGAGCCGAGGCTAGCGGCTCCAATGCCTGTCAAAGCGGGGGGGGGGCGCGGGAGTCGAACATGGACCACTTTCCGACCGCAGATCGACGAAACGCAATTGGCAATCAATAGCGGCAGCAGCAGTAGCAGCAGCAGCAGTAGCAGCAGCAGCAGGAACAGCAACAAAAACAACCAATGCAACGGATTCGACGGCAAAGGTGAACTAAACAGCACTGGTTTTGATACCTGTTGGGGATAACCACGACTTGCGCACATGTGTCAACACGATACAGGCATCCAACGTCCAAAAACAGCAATCACACCGACCAACGGCAAATGGCAGCAACAGTTTGAACCGGCGGCCAAAAGTCACCACGCAAGATCTGAAAATGGCTAGGCTATCTCTGGTTGGTATTTGGGTGAGCCCCCAAGTGTCTCTCCTTCGTTCGTTGAGGGGCAGGGGCGGTTGTACTACATGTTAGCCCCAACACGGGGGCGTGCCTTCTCCTTTGGTCGTTGAGGAGGACGGGTGGATGCACCACAAGTAAACCCAGCGTACCTGAATAGCGGTGACCATGGCCAGAGAAGAGGACTGCAACGCCCACCCGGTGGCAACATTGGAGACGCTATGCCAGAGCGACACGTAGAACAAGATGGGCATCTGGTCAAGTGCAGCACGAAACATCGCCGTAACCGTGCGCGAGCACAGAGAAGGCGACGGTGGCGAGAAATCAAGGGGGGGGGGCGAGGGGGGGACGATGGGGGATTCGGGAGTACCAGTGCGTAATGGCGTACTATGGAGTAAGGCAGCGCGGGGCACCGTCAAATATAAAAGGGGTATCATACATCGTGTGGGTTCCCGCTGTGCCTCCATCTTTGCACGAAAGACAGGTCGCACACGGGAATGGAGGTTGACCTCGTCATGAATACACCTGACAGAACAGTGATGACAGTTGGTAGTCTCCCGTCTTCATCACTAGTAATACAGGACCTTAGATTCCGAAGTCTTTGATACCGTAGCCGCGCCCCGCACCCAACAAAGCAGCGCATACAGTTAACCGGGACCGAAAAAACTATATATCTTTTTTTAAAACTCGTGTTTGTCCTAAATACCTCGCACAGCAAAACCACGCACATACCCTCACCCTCCTCAAAATCGCGCCTAGGGCCTCTCCCAGCAGAACTAACCCTTAACCCTCTGCAAGGTAGCACCTGAGACATCCGGAGGTTGGGAGTGCGGATGACGCCAAGCGTCCACGCCGGCAGTATCAGCAGTACCCCGGCTCCGAGCTCCGCCGTGAGCACCGTCAGCGGGAACGGGAACACCTGCAAGACCGCCGTGTTGTACACGCTGTGGACCACGGTAAGCCCGTACCACGCCAGGGTGGCCACCGCGATGCCCACGGGGCCGCTACCGAAGCCCCTTCTTTTCGCCGTCTTCGAGGTGGAGATGGCATCCGTCCGGCCTGTGGCCGTGCTTGCGGAGACTGCGGAGTAGGCCGACCCCGCCTTTGACGAGGGCCGGTCTGACGAGTCAACAGACGCCGGGGGGAGGGGGGGGGGGGGGGGGGGGANGGGGGGGGGGGGGGGGGGGGGGGGGGGGGGTACCCATGTTTTAGTTGTCAGACCATTCCCCTTCTCGGGGACGGGGGCGGGGTGACTCCTATGTTTTGCATGCCTTAGTTGTTAGACCATTGACCACGCGTCCTCGAGAGGATGGAGCAAGGAGAGCCGGGTGTGTGTGTACGTGTGTACATGTACTCGTTATCATGCATGCCCTTGTCGTTGGACCATTTACCTCGCATCCGTACAAACAGGGGCGTAGCACGTTGGGAGGGGCGGCATGTGGAGATGCGAATGTGAAAGCAGGAGGGATGAGGCGACGAACAGGCACGTGAGTAGAGAGTGGGCCACGCGAGGCCACTGGTTTGTGAGGTATGGCGGAAGAGGAAGGCAGACGATGGCGCTGCCTCCCCACAGCTTGCGATCGGTGATCGGTGGGACTCTCAAGCCGTATGTTGATTGTGCCAGACGTAAGTCTGTGACCATACATGCGCGCTTCTTTGGCTTGGGAGATACGTACAAAAGAGGAAGTACTCGATAGAGTATTTTTCATGTCTACGATATCGCTCAAGAGAGCTGACAAGAGCCCGGGTACAGCCCAGCAGAGTACGGCAGCAACGTCAAGGCTCGTTGCCGAGTTGAAGAACGCGGAGCTTTGGCAGAGGGGGTATTACGTGTCCGCACGCATATCTTCGAACTACGGGCACAAAACTCCACTTCAAAGCTCGTTACTCTTCCACCACAGCAGCTACGACTGCACCTCGCTCGTCGTGGGTGTACAACACGAAGCAAAAGTAACAGCAGTCTACCAGACACGCATGTACGGGCAATTGGCGGGGAGGCGGGTCTGCACCTACAGCAGTAGGGAGAGGAACACAGAAGAAAAGAAAAAGAAAAAAACGCCAACGGGAAAAAGAGGCAGCGGCGGTCGCTGGCCATAACTGCTGCTTCGATTTTGGAGCATCAACACAAACTCGACTTGTGTAGCGAAACCACCCATTGGGCTCAAGGGTTTGGTTGTACCGTGCGTGTCGGACAGCAGTGCTGCTGGTGCCGTGTGTGTTGGATGGACTGCTTGTTTGTCAACCAACCGCCGTGGCTGTTGTATGTGATGTTCTCTTCCAGCGACTGCGGTTGTAAAGAAAAGATTGCGAAGCCACAGTAGGGGATGACAGCAGCACACCGTTCACGCTCACATCCACCAGGGGTGCTGAATTGCTCTATGCAGCAGAACCACAGTTGTACTTGTAAGGCAAGCCAGCAAGCAGCAGCCCCAAACATCGCCATCAACCTACCACACAGCCTGACCGTCTGTCTCCATCTTCTGTACTTCCAGCCTCTTCACGGCCGCTCTCACCTCCCATTGTTTTCTCAATCCAAGCGCAGCTCAAACGTCTCTGGCCTCCTATCTACTTTTTCTTCCTTCTCCCTCGCCTCGTGCGCAGCCTCGCACGCCGTCGCTGGGGATCGCCTGCGTATTGCGTAGTGTGGCCAGTGGCGGTGATGTGATGGGGGCTCGACGGAATGGCTCTTCAGGACGTGGGGGGGGCAATATTTGCGGAGCGATAGACATCTATCTATCGGCTGCTCAGTCACAGCTGATCTGTGCACTGGTTGCTGTGCTATCACGCACGAGGAGAGGACCAACACGCTGCTTGCGAGCACACCATGACGTGCTGATACATTGGCGGATACCTCCAGGCTGGCCGGAGAAGCCATAACGGTGAGATATGGGGAAGGGCCAGGAAAGCTACGGCAGTCAAATCGCTTCGGTACGATTTTGGTGAAAGCAAGAAGTTACTTAGATGTCAATACGCAGCTTGGCGTGGACAAGAGGGACGGACAGCTACAGCAGTAGGCCCCAATCCGCCGCTGCTTTCGGAAGAGAGATGCAGCGGTGTCCGGATTGAGCTTCTTGGCTCGTTATCCGAAGCATCCCGGGACACAACGTGATTGAAGCGGGCAAACAAGTCGGGGCGAAGGCAAATGGATGACACGTAAACTTACACATACAAAAAGAGCCGTCCCTGCCGCCTGCTTGATGCGCACTCAAATCAAACAACGGGATTTGCAGAAAGTATGCATACACACATTTTATTTTGGTATACCTTTTCTAGGTACGTTAGCCTGTGACCACGGAAATTGGCCGAGTCAAGTGATGGATTAGTACGGAGAGATTGAGACAGAAGGAGGTACTGGATAGAGAGACCGGGATGGTTTTTAATGTGAAGACAACAACAACTACTACAACACCCACCGCAAGCTCCGATTGTTCGGACGATCGGCAGCGGTTTTGGTCAGGTAGCTGTTGGCGCCCCCATTGGCGCCGCCAACCGTGGTGTTCGAGGGGAGATGCGTGAGCCACGTATTCTGGTGCTCGGAGTTTTTGATTTGGCGATGTCAACCGTGTGACAAGCCGGAACCGTTCTTGCGAACGTGCCGACGTCCAGAGGGAGCCAGCACCTGGCCTACTGCTGTGCATGCCGTATGCATATGTGCGTCTTCAGCTCCCATTTCACACAACTCCGTTGCGGGCACTGCACTACTACTGCTGTTGACTTGTACAGTACCCCGCCCGAAAAGGAGATGACACAACGGCAATTTGGACAACAGGGGGGGGGGATTCCATTCCTTCGTAGGAGACAACCATGTACACGGCTCGCCTCTCTGTGTACACTACAGCAGAATGCTACACAAAGAAAATAAACCGATTGCTATGTACCATGCATTACAACCCTGGGCAAGAGGGGCCAAAGAAGAACATCCCGATGACATAGTAATCTCCACTCAGATTTCCAAACGTTGTCTCCACACAGGTATCCAAAGGCAGGAAGGTGACGAGGAACCCGGTTGCTGCATACCATATTCTATGATCAACACATGCGCAGTCCAACGCGAGGGAGGGTCGGAAGGAAGCTTGTTGTTGTTGTTGACTTCACATTAAACCGTATGCCAGTTGCTAAATGCCAAAATCTAGCAAAGACTCTCGGCCCGTGGTCACGAAAGTGCTAGAGCCATCTGAGGATCTAAAGAACACGCACACGTAGCAAGAAAAAGGTGTACAAGAGCCCGAAGAGGTACTACTACACCTATATATATTCCCTGCAGCACCGTACGCGTGCCCAAAACTGAACTACACGTCCGTCTCACCGTTCGACTACAGCAACATCACCCCCTAC